GATAGAGTGTTCTGGGTGGTTGCTAAGACGTTGCTATGTTGTTGGTAAGGTTTTCTGGGTAGTTGCTTACTAGGCAAATGAAAGAGCCTCAAACAACTTTTTTATGTTGTTGCTAGGGTGTTCTGGGCAGTTTATAAGGAGTTGCTATGTGGATGCTAGGGTGTTCTGGGTTGTTGTTTACTAGACAAAGTTAAGAGCCTCAAACAACATTCCTATGCGGTTGCTAGGGTGTTATGGATGGTTGCTAGGGTGTTCTGGGTTGTTGCTTACTGGTCCAAAAGAGCACACACTTGAGCCTCTTGACATTCATAAAAAAAGTGAAGCATTATTCATGCCAAAAAATGTCCAGTATGAGTTACATATTGATGGGTAAAAAGTTCCTTCCTATATTATCTCACTGAATATGTCGTTCCTCTCGCAAACATTACATTTGATAGTTAAATCCACTGCTAATGCCACTTCATGTTGTTTTGCAGTATTTGAATACTTAGAAACTGATGTAATAGTGTATTTGTGTCCTTATGTGTGTGTCTTCGGGCATCTTCATTGCTTCTATTCAAATCTACATTTCCTCGGCCCCAGCATTGCGTGGCCCCTGACAGCTGGGATCTCTCGGTGTCTGTTTTTGTTATGTGACAAAATGAGCATCTTTTTGTCATGGCTTAATAGCTCTCCCTCTTCGTACTTCTTTAAGGAATAGATGATGGTAATCAGCATTTCTGCCAGCGCACTGTTGACAGAGGCATCCATCTGCAGTGAAGCATAGTCTGAGCATCTCCTTACAGATCATTTAGAAAGAGAGAGCGAGAGAGCAAGAGAGACAGCCATGTGCCGCATCCACAGCTATGTAATTATTCTCATTATGTCAAATCACCGTGCCAGAACAATAACTGTGCTTTCATAAAAGGACCCCAAATGTCCATCTGCTCTATGTAGGTGTACACAAGAGGTACATACAGGAAAGAAGCAGAATTAAGTGACAAGAGGAGACAAGAGCAAAACTATCGCCATGGTGAACCTGCTTAAATTGAGATAAACTTTAGAATTTGTGTGTTTTTTACTACTTTAAAAGCGACCTATTATGCCCCTTTTTACAATATATAATATAAGTCTCAGGTGTCCCCAGAATGTGTCTGTGAAGTTTCAGCTAAAAATACCCCCACAGATCATTTATTATATAATTTTGAAATTGCCTATTTTGGGTGGAAGCAGAAACACGCTGTTTTCATGCATGTATCTTTAAATGCAAACAAGCTGCTGCTCCCCGCCCCCTTTTCCAGAATAGGGCTGTGCCTTTACGGCTCATTCCTCAGATACTCTGCTAAAAAACATCTGTATGATTTTCATGATATGTCACCTTTAAAGGAATATTCCAAGTCTAATAGTTCAGATTAATTGACAACACTTAACTTCTGCAAATAATTTCATCTTGAGAAAACGTGGAATACTATTACTGGCACTTACAAAAGTGAATGGGGCCAATCAGGGCTAGTTCACCCCAAAAAAAGACAAATCTGTCATCATTTACTCACCTTCCACTTGTTTCAAACCTGTATGAGTTTCTTCTGTTGAACACAAAAGAAGATACTTTGAAGAATGTTGGTGACCAAACAGTTGTCGGTAGCCATTGACTTCCATTGTATTTTTTCCATACTATAGAAGTCAATGGCTACCAGCAATGGTTTGTTTACCAACATTTTTCAAATTATCTTCTTTTGTGCTCACTAGAAGAAAATAAACTCATACGTTTCATGTTTGGAACAACTTGAGAGTAAGTAAATGATGACAGAATTTTTCATTTTCAGGTTAACTGTCACTTTAAAAACATTAAAATAGTGTTTCAATAGTGTTGCCACAAGATGTAAACTATGCATGTTAACATGATTGTGACTTGCAAAAAGCTGGTTCCAGTTCCAAAACAACTTCTAAATATTCAAAATTGATCACATTATTGAAGCAAAATAGGTTGCCTTCATGTTGACTTATGTTGGAGTACAAATGATAGGAAACCAAACTAGTGTTTTTTCCCCCAAACATACATATCACAGTAGCCATAAATGTAGAGGTGATTAAATAAAAGCTAAGCTTCTGCTTAAACAACCCAGGTAGTCTTTGAGTAAATCAATCAGAGTTTGGAAGGACTGTCAGATTGTAAAGACATGTCCTATGTGTGTGTGTGCTCATGTTAGCATGCGTAGACATCAATAAGATTCTTCTGTTTATTTTAGTCAAGGTCAAGAGCCTTAAACAACATTTATGTGTAATTGCTACAGTGCTCTGGGTGGTTATCTATGGAGTTGCTATGGTGTTTTGGGTTGTTGCTTTATAACCAAATTCAAGAGCCTCAAACAACACTTCTATGTGGTTGCTAGGGTGTTCTGGTTAGTTGCTAAGGAGTTGCTATGCGGTTGCTAGGGTGTTCTGGCTGGTTGCAAAGGAGTTGCTATGTGGTTGCTAGGGTGTTCTGGGTGGTTGCTAAGAAGTTGCTATGTGGTTGCTAGGGTGTTCTGGGTTGTTGCTTACTAGCCAAATTCAAGAGCCTCAAACAACCTTTCTACGCGGTTGATAGAGTGTTCTGGGTGGTTGCTAAGACGTTGCTATGTTGTTGGTAAGGTTTTCTGGGTAGTTGCTTACTAGGCAAATGAAAGAGCCTCAAACAACTTTTTTATGTTGTTGCTAGGGTGTTCTGGGCAGTTTATAAGGAGTTGCTATGTGGATGCTAGGGTGTTCTGGGTTGTTGTTTACTAGACAAAGTTAAGAGCCTCAAACAACATTCCTATGCGGTTGCTAGGGTGTTATGGATGGTTGCTAGGGTGTTCTGGGTTGTTGCTTACTGGTCCAAAAGAGCACACACTTGAGCCTCTTGACATTCATAAAAAAAGTGAAGCATTATTCATGCCAAAAAATGTCCAGTATGAGTTACATATTGATGGGTAAAAAGTTCCTTCCTATATTATCTCACTGAATATGTCGTTCCTCTCGCAAACATTACATTTGATAGTTAAATCCACTGCTAATGCCACTTCATGTTGTTTTGCAGTATTTGAATACTTAGAAACTGATGTAATAGTGTATTTGTGTCCTTATGTGTGTGTCTTCGGGCATCTTCATTGCTTCTATTCAAATCTACATTTCCTCGGCCCCAGCATTGCGTGGCCCCTGACAGCTGGGATCTCTCGGTGTCTGTTTTTGTTATGTGACAAAATGAGCATCTTTTTGTCATGGCTTAATAGCTCTCCCTCTTCGTACTTCTTTAAGGAATAGATGATGGTAATCAGCATTTCTGCCAGCGCACTGTTGACAGAGGCATCCATCTGCAGTGAAGCATAGTCTGAGCATCTCCTTACAGATCATTTAGAAAGAGAGAGCGAGAGAGCAAGAGAGACAGCCATGTGCCGCATCCACAGCTATGTAATTATTCTCATTATGTCAAATCACCGTGCCAGAACAATAACTGTGCTTTCATAAAAGGACCCCAAATGTCCATCTGCTCTATGTAGGTGTACACAAGAGGTACATACAGGAAAGAAGCAGAATTAAGTGACAAGAGGAGACAAGAGCAAAACTATCGCCATGGTGAACCTGCTTAAATTGAGATAAACTTTAGAATTTGTGTGTTTTTTACTACTTTAAAAGCGACCTATTATGCCCCTTTTTACAATATATAATATAAGTCTCAGGTGTCCCCAGAATGTGTCTGTGAAGTTTCAGCTAAAAATACCCCCACAGATCATTTATTATATAATTTTGAAATTGCCTATTTTGGGTGGAAGCAGAAACACGCTGTTTTCATGCATGTATCTTTAAATGCAAACAAGCTGCTGCTCCCCGCCCCCTTTTCCAGAATAGGGCTGTGCCTTTACGGCTCATTCCTCAGATACTCTGCTAAAAAACATCTGTATGATTTTCATGATATGTCACCTTTAAAGGAATATTCCAAGTCTAATAGTTCAGATTAATTGACAACACTTAACTTCTGCAAATAATTTCATCTTGAGAAAACGTGGAATACTATTACTGGCACTTACAAAAGTGAATGGGGCCAATCAGGGCTAGTTCACCCCAAAAAAAGACAAATCTGTCATCATTTACTCACCTTCCACTTGTTTCAAACCTGTATGAGTTTCTTCTGTTGAACACAAAAGAAGATACTTTGAAGAATGTTGGTGACCAAACAGTTGTCGGTAGCCATTGACTTCCATTGTATTTTTTCCATACTATAGAAGTCAATGGCTACCAGCAATGGTTTGTTTACCAACATTTTTCAAATTATCTTCTTTTGTGCTCACTAGAAGAAAATAAACTCATACGTTTCATGTTTGGAACAACTTGAGAGTAAGTAAATGATGACAGAATTTTTCATTTTCAGGTTAACTGTCACTTTAAAAACATTAAAATAGTGTTTCAATAGTGTTGCCACAAGATGTAAACTATGCATGTTAACATGATTGTGACTTGCAAAAAGCTGGTTCCAGTTCCAAAACAACTTCTAAATATTCAAAATTGATCACATTATTGAAGCAAAATAGGTTGCCTTCATGTTGACTTATGTTGGAGTACAAATGATAGGAAACCAAACTAGTGTTTTTTCCCCCAAACATACATATCACAGTAGCCATAAATGTAGAGGTGATTAAATAAAAGCTAAGCTTCTGCTTAAACAACCCAGGTAGTCTTTGAGTAAATCAATCAGAGTTTGGAAGGACTGTCAGATTGTAAAGACATGTCCTATGTGTGTGTGTGCTCATGTTAGCATGCGTAGACATCAATAAGATTCTTCTGTTTATTTAAGGATTTACTAGTTCCTGTCTAAACAGAATCTCTTGTGCCTGATGTCCCCATTGATCTACTCAACCACGATAAACACTGAATCCTCAAAGAGGTCCAATCCGATGTCAGCATGATGGACTGCTTTGCCTCCCAGGCAGAGCAGAACTCTTTCAGTAACAGTGTAATTTCTAAACCAGGTTGAGAGACAGTAATGCAAAACCCTCTCATACCAGTGCATTTCTTGGGGCTGCCGGGACGCTTGCCGTGCATCCCTAACTTGCATCCGAAGTTCTCCTCCCAGAACTCTGCAAACCAAACGTTCCGTCGATTGTTGGACAAGGAGCGGCTTTTGAAGTATCTGTCAAAGGCTGGAAATAAGTATGAAAGCATTGGAATTGGATTGAAATTGCAAAAGAAACATTCAATCAGAATTTATATATTAGAGGAACCTTTACCTTCTATGGATGCTCTTTTTGGAAGGATGGTAATAGCACCTTCCGCCACGCTTTCCTGCTGGACGACTGGAGATATTTTAGAGCCCCAGCTGTCCGATCCCACCCACAAGAAGTGACCGGTTTGGTTGTTGCGCTTTGCAGCATCCAAGACACGTCTGAAAGATGAGCAAACAAAATAGGCATACACATGTAAGACAGTGAGGATAAAACCCAGGAACCTAAAAATGTCCTTCAAGCAGACCTGTTTGTTCTGATTTTCTGAGGTCAACAGTGTTCTGCTAGAACACTTAGAATTGGAAATTGGTCTGAAGTCATCAGTGTAATAGGCAAGCATCCAAAGGACATCATGTAATAGGCTTAGAAGGGCAACGGCTCTCGGAAATATGGGGACGTGATTTGATCTTGTGCTACAGGTACAAGAAATTCCATGCCAAAAATGACTGAAAAGTGTATTATGTTAAATGAGTTCTCCAGGCCTTAGGCAGCACATTATAGGAAATAGCTGACTTCACCGGTTCTTGAGGTTTTCTCCTAAGAGCAATACTTACAGCTTGACTGCATCATCTTCAATTTAACTCTGTGACAGTCACAGGTAAATACTATCTGTGGTTTGTCCAAAATTGGTAGCTTTTCAGAAGATCTGACTTAAAGACCCTATGAAGTAAAAACTGGACTTCTTATGGGTGTTAGTGCATTTCCAATGCATTTATTAACTTCTAGACCACCTAAATGCAAGTCTACTTCTAAAAGTTTCCACATATTTTATATATTCTTTCCCAAGTAAAAGGACCAAATACACTACTGTTAAAAAGTTTGGGGATGGTAAGATTTTTAAATATATATATATTTTCATAAGAAGTGTCTTATGCTTACCAAGGCTGCATTTATTTGATCAAGTAAATCACATTTATTTGATACAGTAAAACAGTAATATTATTAAATAATACTACAAATGTAATTTATAATTTACTAAAATGTAATTTATTCCTGTGATGGCAAAGCAGAATTTTCAGCAGCCATTACTCATGATCCTTGAGAAATCACTTACTGACCTCAGATTTTTTAATGGTAATATATATTGAAGAATCATGTTGCGGTACAACTGCAGTACAACCAACCAAATACCCTGTAGAATGAGAATGTCCCACCACCTGCCACTGACTAGCAAGGCAAGTAGCAAATCATGGTTAATGCTTGTGAGGTAACTAAAGCCTATTGACTGTTTTAAAAAAAGTGGAAAAAATAGAAAAAATATCAACTCAAAAATTTGAGTAAGAACATTTAATTTAAGGTCCAGTTCTCACCATTAACTGACTGTTAACAACAAGTTTTGCCTCAATAAACTCATAATTACTGCTTATTAATAGTTAGTGAGGTAGTTGTGAAGTTTAGGTCTCCGTGTGGGATTAAAGATGTAGAATATGGTCATGCAGAATATGTGCATTATAAGTACTAATTAACAGCCAATATGCATGCTAATAAGCAACTAGTTAATAGTAATTGTTAATTGTAGTAATTGATCCCTATACCAAGTGTTACCAAACATTCTTTTTATTTCTTATATCCATATAGATACCAAAAATAGGAGCAAAGGAAATGTGTAAATTGCTCATAAAACCCTTCTTAGGCCTATTCTTTTTTCAGCATATTACCAGGACAGATTACCATTATTATTTATTAAATATACATCTGTGAATAGGAGGAAGGAAAGACATCTATTGATAAAGACACCTGATATCATCTTCATTCGCAAACATGACAATGGCTCGAGCGTTGGGTGTCTCCAGTAGCCGCAGGATGATCTTGTCGAATTCTCCCAGTCTGGGCTCTCTGGGGATCTTCAGAGATTGAGCAATACACACACCGCCTGAGAGAAAGAAGACCAGGAAGTGACAGAAGAGAGAGAGAAAACGATAGAGAATAAGAGGAGGAAGAATGAATGATGCAGAGAGTGAGGAAAGGAAAACAGATTGGATAGTAGAAACATAAAGGAAGAGATGGGATGAAAGGGAAGGAAAAGGAAAGGACAATTGGATGAGACGACATGAAATGAAAGGAAGGAAGGGATAAAAGGAAATGAACAGGAATAGAAAGGAATTGGAGGAAAGGAAAGGAAAGGAAAATTGGATAAAAATTGGGAAAAAAGAGGAAATGGAAAGGAAGGAATGAGAAAGAGAAAGGAAGTTAATTGGATAAAATAAATTAAATGAAGGGATGAAAGGAAAGGATAAGTTAAAAAGGAGAATGCAAAAGGATAACAATAATATAAGAGGAAATAAAATGGAAGGAGGGAAGGAGTGAAAGGAAAAGGAAATGAAAAGGAAGTGGAAAGGAGATGAAAGAATAGGAAAAGAAAAAAATTAGATAAGAGGAAAAAAATGACAGGAAGAGATGGGACAAAAGAAAAGAAAAGGTGACAATGGAGACAAAAGAAAGATGAATAGGGAAAAAGGATGACAGAAAGGAAGATAATAGGATATTGTGAATGAAATTGAGTATGAAAGCAGAAGAGAGCGGAGAGCAAAGAGAGAAAGAGAAAGACAGGACATGAGAAGGTCAGAAAGCACGGAAGGAAGGATGAAAACACAGGGGCGGCAACGGAAACTTATTCCATTATAAAACGGACAGGGACGCACATAGATTAGATACAGAGAGATCAGAAAACAACAAACAGATTCAGTGTTTTTCTCAGCGGAGTGAGGAAAGCGTGTTTAGATTCAAATGATATCTGATAGTGTCACCTTGCCCAAGGTGCCTGCGGGAACACGAGGTGATGTCAAACACGTCCCGGCTTATTTACTCGGCCTAATGCAATTCAGAAAGCGCACAACTCGAAAACCTTGAAAACCTACGGCCATAGTGTCATATCCACCCAAACGTACACAACAGCAATTCGGTTTCCGCATTCAGAGATGCAGCAAGAAAATTGTGACAAGTTATGTCGTCAAGATCTGATCAGGTCTTCAATACATCGCAGACAGTCTAACAGTCACACTAATGGAAGATTCGTGCTCGCTGTCTCTCACTCCGAAATAAACTATCTGCTCTTGAGGTCAATTTATTTCTTCACCAGCAACATCATTTGCAGCAAGGAGCACTGATATGGAATCAGGCCACTGCACTGCATAAAGTGTGGCTATAATAACCCTCCATCTTGTCTCTAAGCCCTCCATTACAGCATTAGCACTTCACAGGTTGAGTTAAACACTCTAGTACCCCTCCAAATAGGCGCTCTTGCCACTACAGTCCATTTAATGAACAGCTGTGGTGGCCCCATCCCGAGAGCAGCTCAGGAAGCCATCATGAAGCCCAATTCACCCAAAGACACCCAGTGATTATGCCAAATGGGTGTCCTTTCAAGGATAAGCGCCATCGTCGTGCTTTCCTTAATGGTGGCTGTTTTCCTTTGTCATCAATTCAGTCGTCATCATGTAATTGAAATGCTGTGCGGCGATAATGTCGACTGGCGGGGCGTCTTCATGGGGCTCACTTCAAGATGTCATGTCTGACTGAAGAATGAGGCTTATTTGGGGAAACAAGATGCAACCTCACAATCTTGCTGCTGCCCTTGGAAAAAAACATCCATCTACTTTGCAAACCTTGTCGTACGTAGGGTCGAGGGGATGCTGGATCTCTTCCTATTCCTTTCATCTCAACAAAAAAGGTACAAAAGCTGTCACTGGGGCAGTACGTTTTTTTAAAGGTACTAATATGTACACTCTTGGTACCTTCAAGGTACTAAAATGCACCATTTAGGAGTAAAGGAGGTACAACGATGTACCTTTTTAAAGGGTACTTCCCCAGTGACAGCTTTTGCACCTTTTTGTCTGAAAGCATATGGCCTGAGATGTTCAGATAGGCTCCAGCATTCTTGCAATACTATGTAGGACAAGGTTTTGAAAATGGATGGATGTTCTTTTTGCAAAGTGTAGGCAGGGAAACACCCTGGACAGATGGTCCAGATTCACCTATGCTGCATGTGTTTGGATTGTGGGACAAAACCCACATCAAGATAGGGAGAACATGGAAAGACCACCTGGTTTAGCCATGGTAGAAATTGTAGCATCCAGGGGGAGAACATGGAAAGGTTACATAGAAAGGCCACCTGGCTTAACCGGGACTTGAACCAGGGATCTTTTGATTGTGAGGTGATAATGCTACCATCTGAACTAAATTGCTGCACACTGTTACCAAACAGCCCATTTTTGTTTTAAATTTGCGACAGTTTCCCCAAACACTTTACACAGGGGTTTGAAAAAACATTATAAGTCACGAGGCCCCAAATATGATGGTCCCCTCCCAACATATAAAGGCAACGGCATATAGAAGGCCTATACTGTGTGAAAAAAGTAGCAAGATTTTATAAAGACAACAATGTCATTTTTTAAAAGTGTACCCAAAAGCCTGTTTCCTAAATGAAACCTCAGAACTTTACAAAATTAGGTAAGAAGAAATTAGGTACAGAAGCATGCAAACTTTTTTTTTTTTAATATCCATGCTTGTTTAAATCAGAGTGCGCACGCGTCTTTAACGCAGCATACATCGGTGTTGTGCACTGTGACCATTTGATGGGAAATGTATTCTTAAAATGCATTCAAAATTCTGAATAATTTGTTATAAATAATTATTCCATGGTCTGTCTGAATACTGGATTCTGATTGGCTGGCAGGTATGCAGTAAAACCGTTTAATGCACAGGTAGTTCCAAGTCAGTTTAATCACCGTTCTATATTAATGCGCTGCTTTAATGCTTTAATTTAATTGACACACACACAGAGAGAGAGAGAGAGAGAGAGGTCAGAGAACTTGTTGTCAACGCTTCCCCGTGATTTTCATTAATAAAATAGCCTAGATACTAGATCGCTACTTTATATTCCTCAGCAACGCCAACGAGGTGGTCAAATCGCTGTTTTTGAAGTAATTGTTTGTACAGAGAGATGCGCAGACGCAGCTACACACAACTGTCATCTCTCTCTCTGTCTCTCTCTCTCTCTCTCTCTCTTGCTTAACTTGTCTATAACTTGGCAAATGACCATGGAATAAGCGGGATAATCAACAGCTAGCCGTGCGTTAAAGGATTTTAAATGCACTTTGCGTCGGGTGGTTCTTTGCCTCCACGCCGTGCATTTAAAATCCTTTAACACACGGCTAGTCGTTGATTATCCCTTACTTATTCTCTGTATTTTGAAGTGCCCACGATAACAATATCGGGCATATTCATTACCGTGATATATCGCATTACCGAATACTGGCACATGTCTAGACAGCAACACAACTGAAACGTTCAAGGCCCAGAAAGGTAGTAAGGACATCATTAAAATAATCCATGTGACATCAGTGGTTCATATTTGGATGTTAATTACATTGTGCCAGCTGTCTCTTTAATACCGCGTGGTTTACATACACGTTGCTGCTGATTGGGCTGACATGTTTGACACACCCACCAAACAAGAGAAAACACTTCTCAATTTTGCACACCGTTGCACACCGTTTCCAGGAAACATGTCGTTCAAACTGGAAACCTTAGCAAAACGGTGCACACCGGTTTGAGCTTGAACTTGCCCCTGGTCAGGATACTTGAACAAACAAGCAATGTTTTAAAAATGCCACAGAGACAAAGTCCACACCACAACTAAAATAACAACACAGAGAAACAATATAACATTTAGATCACATTCTTGGTGTAAACAGGGCTTTAGAAGGCAGCTCCCTATTTTGGCAGTAAGTTTTGTAACAGCACTTACATTTTTGTGCAGGTGATGAGTCAACTAAGTATAGTTCATCTGAAGTTCATAAACAAACACTGCTTTATCGCCACCATGTCGTTCACCTCTGAATCCGCTACACTCCAGGCTTCCCGCCACTTATAAAATATTCATACAGGCCGTGACACAAGAATCAGAGCACTCTGAATAGGTCGGCGACCACGTCTGGCAAGGAAGCTCATTTAAAGCTCCCGGTGTCAAATCTGCCCGAGGCATTAAGAGTTTGCAGTTGCATTAGTCACATCGTTGTGTGCGACAGTGGTACCACAATCGCAATCTCAAACAATTTATCAGCGCCTGCGGCATCTTGTCTATTGTCACTTGTTCGATAAAATAATCAGACAACAACACGATCTATATCTCACAACACTCAACAGTGGAGCGGCTAATAAAATCGGGTCTAAGATGTCTGTTTCTTTAAGCCTGTGTATGAGTTTTTAAAAAAAAGAGCTGTGCAGGATCTAAATGACAGATTTTGTGTTTCATGGTTCATAGTAATTAAAAAGGAAAATGGTTGTGCTTCATTTTAAAGGCAGGAGCTGAGAAGCATTCTGGATGATTAACATTACAATTTTTGATCATTTTCCCATCAAGCTTAATAGGCAACATAAATTAGCAGATTGTGCCAGCTGTGAGTTCAGTGCTGACAGTGAATTCAGCAGCTGCAGTGTGCACATACTACAAAAAGTGTTTCAGTTCAATGGAAAGACAGACAGACACGTCTTGCTGAAGACGGAGGCAAAATTGTGTTCTCCAACTCGTACAAAAACTAGACTAAAGGTCAAGTTTCTGTGTTGCACAGGTAAAAGGTTTTCAGGTTAAACTTTGGCCTGCAGTAGTTTTTGTATGATTTCTGAGATTCAAATGTTTTAATTTTGTGTTCAGAATTTCTGAAAACTTGAAAAATAGATTTTTTTAAATCTCAGTATTTAAATCTAAATTAAAAAATTTAAAGTTTATTTTAAGTGCCCATATTATGGATTTTTAAAAAACCTTTCATGCAGTGTGTAACACAGCTCTAAGTGAATGAAAACATCCTGCAAAGTTTTAAATCTGAAAGTGCACCATGTATAAAGTTATTATCTCTCACAACCATAATTTTACGAAGCTACGAGAATAATTCTGTGTGCAAAGAAAACAAAACAAAAAAGACTTTATTCTCAATTTCTTCTCTTCTGTGTCAGTCTTTGATGCACATTCAAGAGAGTATCACGACATATGCGTAGCTTCATAAAATTAAGGTTGAAAAGCTCTAGGATTTCATCAAAACTATCTTCCAAAGATGAGCAAAGGTTTTACAGGTTTTATAATATCGGACTGATAATAACTTATTAAAACAGGTTTCTCAAAACACGCCCCCAACAGTCATTGGTCAGCAAACAGATTGCTCCACCCCTAATCTCCCTCTATTGGTTGAGTTAATTTGTTATGTTGGCCAGGGCTGCGTTCAGCCCCGACAAAAACGGTGCAAAACGTTTTTTAAACGGAAACGGTGGTGCGTTGAACACACTGTTCTGATGACGCAAGAGTTGTCTCTCAAAAGAAAGAGTCGACTCTGAATCATTGAAACTAGTTGTTTTTAAAACAATCCCAAGTCGTATCATGTTGACGTCAACATGAAACATTACCATATTGCCTGCCCACTTGTTGCGTGCGCAGACCCAGGAAAACTTGAACCCCACTCCCTCAAACACTGACGCTGTGCTCTGCAATGTGAGGGTAAATCTTTTTTTTTTTTTTTACTGCCAAAGGACGAGGCTGTGAAGAATCAATGTTTAAAGTTCATTTTTACAGCAATACCACAGCAGTATAGTACCAATCTTGTGTTGTGTCCCCGTCATTTTACTGAAGTCTGCTACAGAGTTTCCCAGAGACTGCTGCGTTGATGCCATAACGTAATTACCGTAATTTCGAGATGACAGCACGTGACGTTCTACTCGGAACTGTTCACGTCCTCGGACTCGGAATTATGCTTTTCTATGGCAACACTATCAACGCCTAAACAGAGCCTGCGGTGGTCAGGTGGTACAGCGGTCACGTGGTACAAGTCGTAGCTCTCAGAAAACTCCCAGTTCACAAGTTGTAATGAGTTCTATGAGGACGTGAACGCCTTTTACAAGTTGGAATCACGTAATTACGGGAATTCCGATATGGCGTGAACGCACCTTTACACTCTATGTGTGGCGAGGCTACCCCCGTGGAATATATATATAGGTTCAAATTTATGGCTCTGCGTAAGTACCCCTGTCTGCAGTTTGCAGATCGTCGTTTGCAGACCACACGTCTTTTCATTTGTTGGTGGCAACGTAATGGCGTCGATGCCGTGCAGCCCCGGTTGGTCCGCATTGGTCCGCAGACAGATGCTATTGACGTAATGGCGTCAACGCCACGGTAAACAGGAAATGCAGTTGGAAATGATATTTATGAATTATACATTTTATATAAACAGCGAATCGGTTAATTACTTATACTTTGAGCATCAGTTTTAGACTCAAATGTTTTATCTTGTGCATATATAGCAGTATGCAATATAGAAAACAAGCCCTACTTTCATGCACCTGGTTTTACACTGAATGATTTTATTCATAGAAAAAAGTCCTGACATATATACATACTTTGTATATTGTTAATATTAGTTTCTCTTATATTTCTTCTCCTGGTTAGTTTTGTCACGTCTTATTACTGTCCCCCTGTCTCACAGACAAGGCTTAAAACTAAAATGCACGTCTGTGCTTTTTTAACTAAAAGAAATTTGCATTTTGCTACTGTCTGTGAAACCAGGCCTGTAATTCTTTTTAAGTGATTTATTTTGGGAAATCTATCCCTTCAATATCAATAACTTCACAGTTTATATACAAGTCATGGACTGTGTTCCCTGAAACCCTTATGATTCTACACTGATCGGCGAAAACGCTGGAAAACGCAGCCCATGTTATTTTTGAGATAAGGCCGTAAATTTACACGAGGCCTAAAAACTACTTCACATCTCCTTTCAACAACACACTAAGCGCAACTACATAATTAGGCATTTTAATTAAACAAACTAAACAAAAATCATAGCTTGTGTACTCCTTGTGCACTGTAAATTAACAATTTACACATAAGATGTAGCACGTGTACTCACCATACAGCGATGAACACCGGAAATGAAAACATGCTTCAATGTCATTACTTCGTCATCATCGTCTTCTTCTGTGGATTTATTACCATCTTTTTAGGTGTATACCGCCACCTCCTGTACTGGAGTAACGTCATTACTTTGCCACCAACCAATGAAAAGACTTGTGGGCGGGGCGACACGTGCAGCCCCGCCCCAGATCTGCAGGCTGCAGACAGAGGCTTCTCGCTCTGCGTGTTTGCTGCGTAAAAGCATCAGTCGAATTTGCGCTGGTCTGAATGAAAATGCAAATTACTTCTTCGCCACTAGGTGCCGCTTTTGGAGCGGGAAAAATAGTTGTTTCCCTGGTAACGGCTGTACACAAAGCAGCACTGCGCTCATAAATGCTGCTTTATCAGACCAATCATCGCAGATTAGCGTCACGCAAATGAATCGTTGAGCGAATCGTTTGGGAGTTGTTGAGCAAGTAAGGTAAAAATAAATGCACATTATAAGACAATAAAAGTGTTTTTTGACCATGCATGCATGTCAACATGTTGTTGGAGACTCCCAAAACCAAAATATGAACCTTTCATAACCCATAATAGGGGCACTTTAATCTGCCATATAAAAATACAAATTAATGTAAAAAATACATAAAAAACAGTTCTGTTCAGTTTAAAGTCAAATGTCTTTAATTTAAATGTACAAAATGCAAAACTATAAAATACACCACAAAATAGTAAAATGTTAAAAATGACGTGTCTAAAATTCAATTTCAACTAATTTCTAATTCATATCATTCACTAAAGCCAAGGTCAAATTTTCCATTGTTTGGTGAATATTTGCTTGCAAAATCCAGTCATTTCAATAGAAATCCAGGCAGTCACAAATTTTGTGAGGGTGATAGATTGCCACACATAGATTTCGCAATGGGTTCAAGGGTATGGGCTTGGCTTATTTAAAAAACAATTTTTTTTTTGTTTTGCCTGTGAGAGTTTGCCATAATTTTGCTAATGTGTCCACGGCTAATTTTTGGCATTTTTATAGCCCCATATTCTCTCAGAGTTAATTTTATTTATTTGATGCACAATTAAATATCCAATACCAAACGACTGATCAATCATTACTGTTATTAGAAATCTTGAATATAACCAATATGGTACCGATATATTTTGCATCCCTTAAGGTGATGATACACGGAGCATCTTTTTGAGCAATGTTGTCATCAACAGGCAACCAGGTGAGACACAGGGCCCACGACCGATCTAAAGCATTCAGACAGAAATTTGTTGCCCATTCTCAATGGGAAAGTGCCCAAGCAACATCGCTCAGCAACATTGCTCAAAAAGTTGCCCCATGTATCATTACATTTACAGAAAATGCAGTATAGCATAATAAAACCTCTTAACACGAAGTTTCATTAAGTTCTGCTTTCAGACTGACAAATCTGCTAAAGATGAAACTTTTTAATGGGCAAAAGTTTGCCTTCATATCACAAATAACGCAGCTAAAAGACATTAGGCAGCCTTTAAAATATTAATACAATCAATGCCAAGTACATTTTGAAAATAAATCCCACACTGAAGCCTTCAGACATCACAGCCAAATTTTATTTTCCACTGTTTACTGTTCATTTCATACAGCCTTTCAATATTTTGGCAGAAGCCAGCCTTGTTCTGCTATCACACGGCAGAACAATCTCACCTTTTTCCTCAGACACGAGCACAGCCAGCGTCGCACAAAAAGTGCGCTGAGCGTGGGAGCGAGGGCTTTTGTGTTTCACATGCAAACTGTGGCAGCCATTAGCGGTGCGGCGTGCTTAAGCCGCCACAAATGCATACCACACTGTGCATGCGATGAAATGTTTGAAACCGGAACAAAAGCTTCTGTGGGAAGAGATACACTCACATCTGTACAAAACAGTGTATGTTATACCAAATGACTGCAGTCACAGTCGAGATAATTAGCAGAGAAAAAAAGTTTTGTGCTAATGCATATAAAAGTCAGTTAAAAAGGTTTTCGGCTTTGTCACTGTGCTCTGTTCCTAAATCTGGAGAGCCGCCTCGTTAAGTACCATAAACACACTGTTTCAATAGGTAGGCAATTCGTAAATATGCGAAGCTGAACAACATTTTTATAGTATTTACTAAAGGAAAATTTGTTAAGATCTTAGAAATGAACATGTTTGTATTCATGTTGGTTTCATGTGTTTTTAAAAAAAGCATTACATTTTCAAAGAAAAAACATATTACATTTTAAATTTAATGACTCTAAGAATGTCCTGTAGTGTAAGCACATTTTCCTTAAATACCTTACTGTACACATCTTTTTTTTCTTCCAATGTATTTTTAAATAAATATCATGATTTAATCATTAAAAATATATCAAAGTTTTTTGGGTTATTTTGAGCAAAAATTTTGGTCAAGGTTAAGTTTCTGTTTTTCACAGATAAAAACTTTCAAATGTTTGAATTTAGTGTTCTGAAATTCTTCCCATCAGAAAATTTGAAACTGTAATATTTTTATATCTGTATGTTTAAAACGAACAAACAAAAAAACATAAATGAATAAATAAGTAAACAATTTAAAAAATATGATTAAATACTATTATTATTAATAATTTTATAATTATTTATTTATTTATTTTTCACAAATATTAACTTTTTTGGGTCACACCGCATGACATTTTACAAACTTGTATCATTATATTTATGATATCAGGACAGTTGTAACACTTTTGAATTTATGAAAAAACAACATTAAAACATTAAAAATAATAAAAATGAAATAAAATAAAATATATATATGTAGAAATCAACATTAATCAAGAATAATTGTAAAGTTTGTACTGTAGACAAAGACACATCTCTGCCCGCTCGCGTCTAAGATCAACCTTTCCACAGTTAATTGCTGTAGAAAGACACGTTTGGACCGGAGGAGAGGGGCTTCCGTGCTGCAAATGAATCTCTGCCACATCACACTGCATTAAGCAGAGGATGCTGACCGTATTCATTTGTAACAAGCCTGAAAATGCCATGGCAATCAGTTCAAAGAAATGTAAAATAACTGTTCGAAGATCTCTGCAAGTTTAATATCAACAACAATGGACAGAGATCTTAATTTGACTTATGTCATTTAAGTATTAATTAATGTTGTTGAGTAATACAGTATTTTGTAATTAATTTCAGCTACAAATGACTGAGAATGTAAATGAACTCTCTACTTACATAATCAAGAGTAAAATGTTGTTTATCCATGTAATTTTCATTTCAGTTCGCAAAGGGCTTGATTGACAGGCAACCTGACCAATCATAACACGGAATCTGCCATCTTGTCCGACAAACAAATCAGACAGGAGATTAGATTAACTTCGAACTTAAACTTGAAAAATGGTGTGTACTGATGTCTTTCCGTGGTTGAAATAAAATACGTTCTTCTGATGTTCATTCATGTTTATTTCGTGCTTTAAGTAAATAGGAAAATACGGTTCGGTTCACACACCGCTTGAACTGAGGCAATACAGTGATCTCTCACAACACAAAAGAGCCACAAAACGTTATTTATTGTTTGAATTTCTTTAAAAAAATGACAAAATTTGAAAGCTGAGACCTTGTTTCACACCGGAAGTAACCTGCGCTGTTTTGTTTGTCGGCACGTTGTCAGTTTACTCTTTGCTCCACAATGTATTTTTCACTGTGTGAGAACATGGGGATGATTTGACCAATCATAAAGCCGAATCTGCCATTTTGTCCGACAAACAAACCAGACCGGAGAGTAGATTGACGTCAGTGGACTTGAACTTAAAAAAATTGTGTGTACTGACGTCTTTCCGGGTTGAAACAACATACCTTCTGATGTTCATTCATGTTTATTTCATGCTATAACTAGTAAATATGAAAAGATGATCGGTTCACGTGCCACTTGAACTGAGGCGCTACAGCGATCTGTCATGACACATTAAAGAGCCATAAAACGCTATTTATTGTTTGGGTTTTTTTTGTGAAAAGGGTCAATTAACAAACTTTCTAATGTACCTTCAAAGTTAAATAGTAATATATTTGGTTCCCTTTCAGTCGGTCACTCCGAGTCACGTCGGTGACCGACGAATTGGGATATCACTTCGATAGACCAATCTACTTCGAGTGTAAACTAAACGAGCCAATGCACATTGGCATGCAATTATTGCATCCAGCAGCCGCTGATCACAGCGTGAGTATAATAAGGCAGCAGGTGCAATGCATACCAGCTTTTCGCTTCGGAGCCAAGCGACAACATCGTTCTG